ATTCTATGGATCAATAATAATTGCAAATAAATTTAACTCAACAATTAATACTTTAGTTTTTATGAGCATTATAAAATTGACTTATTTTTAAATTAAAAAAACCTATTTTCCGTAAAAACAATTATTGTATTAGATACATTGAGTTTGAAGGCCACTTGCTGAATGAAGGTAGTACAATCTTAAATGTAATTTAGATCAAAAGTAAATAGAATTCTTACCTGGAAACAATCCAATAAATCATTGGAAATACAATGTCTTATTTAATAAAGAGAGAAAACAACTGGTGGTTACACAGTAGAGGAGAATCCAGGAAAACCCCAAGAATCATGAAAATTGCCCTATTTGTGTGGTTTAAGTTAGCTGATAAGGGTATAGAGTATCTCTTTAGTGTATTCACAGGCACCTTGTTATTAAACTGTCAAACCTCTTTGAGGATTCTCCAGTAATTTGCTATTCCATTTCTGTTTCATTCATTAAATAGTTTCTAAAGAATTCCCAAGACTCTTCCCTTAGTAAAATTCTCAATGAATCAAGCTAGGAGCAACTCAAGCTGTTTTGATTCACTTAAGAGAGTTTAAGTTATCTTTAGAAACAAACTATAAATGAGAAAGGTCATGTCGATCCCTTCACAATATGAACTTGTTAAAATAATTCTGTAGTTCTGGGGCTGCTGTTGTGGCATAGCGGGTAAAGTCACTGTCTAGGACGCTGGCATCCCATATGAGCACTGGTTTCTGTCCTGGCTGCTTTACTTCAGATCCAGTTCCCTGCCAATGGTCTGGGAAAAGCAGCAGAAGGTGGCCCAAGTATTTGGACCCCTGCCACCCATGTGGGAGACCTGGATGAAGCTCCTGGCTCCTAGAGTTGATCTGGCTCAGGCCATCTGAGTAGTGAACCAGCAAATGGAAGATCACTTTCTCTCTCTCTGTGTATCTCACTCTTTCAAAATAAATAAATTAAAAAAATTCTGTGGTTCAAGAGACCATGATAAAAATGTGTGGAAGACAGAGCTGCTGTTGTATAGATTTATATTGTCTTTGATTCACCAATATCAATTTTTGTAGAGAGATGAAATAATTTATGTTTTTACTTATTGAGAGATAAAAATGAATACTCACATAAGTGAACTAAAATTTTTTGCATTCCACTGTTAACAGTATTCAAATGTTTTTATATCTTTACAGTGATTTCATGTTGTAGGTATGTTTTTAAGGTAAAATTTTTCCTTTCTTTATTACATTTTTATTTATTGGAATGATGGATTAGATCATTTATATGGACTGCATTCAGCTAACATAGTCTATGAATTGTGCAAATTAACCCTTGGGATAGTGGAAATATCAGTTATTTATTAACTTATCTCTGCACCATTTGGTACTTTAGGAAGATTAATACATTTATATCTAGTATAAAAAATTGAGGTGGACATTGTCAACTTCACCTTTAGATTAATTGAACATGATCCCTTCTATGAAAAGACCCTTAATATATTCCTGAATAATGACTAATTTTAGGCACATAGAAATCACTCAATGTAAAGAAGAAAACCTTCAGAATGACATCAAACTATATTGGTCAAACCAGTTAGGAAACCAACCACATGGTTGACATTGAAGCTATGCTATCATTCTATGAAACCCCCTATGGAGCCCTTCCATGTGCTCAGAATCCACACCTACATGCAACCCAAAGAGAGAACCATACTTGCCCAGAACACCTGATCACTTTTTCCTGTTACACAATATGATTAATGCATAGCAAATCAAAGCAGGGTACTTGGTAACTAGGAATCCCAGTGCTTTGCAGAGGCTACCTGGTGTGCAGCCTGGCCTGGGACAGCAAGACCAGGGAACGTCAAACAAACCCAAGAGCATTTGACAGAGAGAGCTTATCCCAATTCAATAAATTTTTACCAAGAAGGGAGGGATTCCATTAAATTGCTCATTGGTGATGATGTTGAGAAACCCCTATACCTTGCTTCTGCAGCTTTGACAACTTCCAAGACTATTTAACCCCTCTTTCAAATGAGGAAGACTTCAATTTGGCCTTCCTCTGGCTTTGCCTTTCCCCCATCAAGTATCTTATTGCTTAATATCGCAGTTTTTCCAGGTAAAAATCCCGGGCATTTGCCTAGAGGGAACACTCATAGTCACAGAGGCTATCTTTCTGGGCACCTGTGATATTACATTTTTGAAGAGGAACCAGGCAGGCCCAGATGCTCTTTAAAAGAGCTAGAACTTTATTGTGTAGGTGGTAGAACATTTTTATGGAAGCAAGAGAGAAAAATGAGGGAGCAATAGAGAAAGCATAGGAGAATAAAGGAGAAAGGAAGAAGGAAGGAGGGAAGGCCAATTAGGCAGGTCATTTTGCTTGCCTTGTAACCCTTCTGCCGCAAGCCAGGGAAGAAAGCTGCGCAAGAAGAAAATGAAAGATCTGCTTGAAGAAAAGCTGTGCACATGTTCTCAGAGCTCTCAAGGTTTTGAAAAGCTGCACTCAGCTCAGACCACTCACGCATTCTCCCTTCAGCCCTGCAGCCCCCTCCTCCCCTGTCTGCAGGTGATTTCATCTGGAGGATTTCCATGAAGGCTGGAGAGTGGCATCTCTGATTTGGTTCTGCCTTCTAGGAGTCAGGAGAGAGATGGCAGTGCCCACTGTGTGTTGTTTACACTGCAGCCTCCCCATGCCACTGGGTCCTCATCCCTGCAGCTGCAGCAGGGCCGTGGGCAGGAGAGCCCTGAAAGATTGTGGAGACTAGAGCAGGGAAGGGCTGCTGATGGGCCTTGGAACTGCAGATTGTGTCTGGTTTGTCAGTGCTCCCTAAACTTCCAAGGATTCCAAAGAAATTGATTGGGATGCAGTGAGGCCAGGAAGGGCTGACCTAAACATCCAAGAAGATGGTGTGTTAGAGGTGAGGGGCAACAGGACAGATACTTTATAAGGAAAAGAGAGGCAAAAGGAGAGAAATCCTGTAAGAAAGGGAACCCTGGAGACCATCTCGGGCATCTAAATGCAGATTGCAGCAACGCCACCAGCATGCTGAAAGCTGCAGAGAGGCTGTTTCCCCCAACATTACTTTTCAGGTGTTCATTACGTAGACTAGATGATAACGCACTTGCGTTTAGCTCTATGGTTTGGACTCAGTTTCCTCATCTGTAATACAAGGAATTTGGAATAGATATTTTACTGTTTGATGTGACTTTCTGGGTAACTGTCAGTCTGTGAACCTTGGAATCCAGAACAAACACCTATGAACGTTAATATGAGATTCTCACCCCCTTTTGTCTACCACCCATATATCTTTGCAGTGTAACAACCCCTGCAATGTGATGGCAAGAATGTGACTCAATTGTGACAAATGATTGGTCTTTCTGCCCTGGAAGAAAGAGGGAAGGAAGAGAGAAGGCAGTCTATGATAGACTTTGGATTTCTAAGGAGAGGCTATTGTCTTATTTCCAATTTCAAATGTCATCCATTGAAATAAATTATAAATTCCTTCAGGAGGGTTTCAAATAGTTGGAGTGGTCAAAGAACCTGATAATGATCACTTCCAGCCCACCCCGACTCCCATTTTGGGGAAAGATTTATTGCATTTCATCCCAGACATTGAATCTGCCTTTTCACAGAAGTCCAGCACACACCAGCCATGTACTTTCTTGTCTGCCTGTCTCATGCCTTCTGCCAACCTGCTCCCAGGCAGCCTTCCCTGGGGTTATTAAACGCTAAGCATGATGAGTGTGCACTCATGAGTAAGGTGTTCAGTGATGCAGGAACATCCCTCCCCCAACACAATCAAGTGTAGGCAGTTTAAATGACAGTGGGGGTACAATGTGTTTTCACACGAGTTTCATTTTTTAATATGTCTCCACCTGAAATACCTTTACAATTGACAAATTAATATGTAGAAATATGAAAACTCCCTCACTTGCCTTCAAGTGGGAAGTGACAGGCAGATAGTAGACTTTGCCTTGTCTACACCCACCCGCATTTCCATTCCGTGTCAGTCTCCACGGTGTGGACAGGAGGGCAATTCTGGAAAAATGGATTCCCACCCTGGCATCTCCCGGGGCACTGATCCGTGCAGAGCTGAGTTCTCTCCATTTTCTCTCTGGTAAGCAGCGTCGCCCCCTCCCCACACAGGTTCCCGCGCCCCTGGGGGTATTCAGCCATCTGATGATTTCCACTTGGGGTTTGACCTTGTGGAGATCCTTCGGCCAGTTTCTGGGCAAAGAACAACCCATTTTCACTCCAGCACAAAACGACCTTTTCTCCTTTACAGAAACACCAGCAAGTGGAACACATCTGGGTTTCCGCCTCTCAGCCCTGCATTCCAGGAGGCAGGTAGCGAGTGTGGACCCGATTGTCCCCTTCCAGCACCTCCGACTACAGACTCTGATCCAGATCCACAGTGAGGTGGGACGTCTTTTCTGCCCACTCACCCTTGTGGCGAAAAATCAAAGCCGAAAACTGCCTCGTTTCTAAAGACTCAGAAACGCGCCTCTTCTGCGCCCCACTCCTTGGGTCTTAAATAAACACCAACATCCCGCTTGGAAATCACCCCAGATTCTCGCCCGCTCCGTTTTACTCGGTAAGCACCTTTGCTGCTCGTCCACGGAGCACCGGCCCCACGGAGGACAGCTTGGTACCCCTGGGCTGCACCCGCTCCATAGTTTTGGCAGCAGCCGGAAAACTTCTCAATTAACGACTTACATCTGCTTAGAGAAACCCGCCTATTTATAGACTTTATAAAAGCATCTCAATTTCGCCCATCTTCAACCTAGCCTGACAATCCCCCCAGCGAGCCACATATAAACACTCCTCCTTCTCCCACCCCCGCTTTGCAAAAGGTCCCCGATGCGCCAGCACCCACCGAGGCGACTGTCAGCATGCATTCAGATGCATCTATGCAAAGCCCAGTAGGTGACCACAGCCAAAGCATCTCCCTCACGATCGGCTGCGCTACCCATGCAGAAATGCAACGAAGATTTGTATTTTGCACTTACAGTTATAGCGCTGCGCACGGTCACTTAAGGAAAATGATAAAACTCAACAGTTCTTTTTAAAAATATATATATTTAATTCGGGTGAGCGGTTCAGCCGTCTCTGTGTGCGGTTCTCTCTCGCTCTCTTTTCTCGGAGCTCTGGGCTGCTTAAATCCCCGTCGGATCGCGCCTTGCGAGCCCAGCCGTCGCCGCAACACGCTCCGGTAAATCTCTGCTGCAGATTGGGAATCCCATAGAAAACCTAGGGTCCCTGGAGCTGGCTGCGCAGGCGCGCGAGCCGCGGCCTCTCCAGGCACCCCTCCCCTCCCCTCTCCTCCCTCCTCCCCGGGCGCCGCAGCCCAGCCTGGAGAGCTCCGGAGCCTGTGACCAAAAGCCGCCTGGCACTGGCGCATGCTCAGTTGGAGGGCTCCGAGTTTCCGCGGGTGGATTCCGAGTCTCCGGATTTTAGCAGAAACTCCAAAAGGAAAGTAGATAGGAAAAGGGAGCCCGGCAGCCCCAGCCTCCCGCACCTGGACCGACGCGCGCGAGGCAGGGCGGCTTGGGTACCCCGCGGCCCGCGGCTCCCCGGGGTCCTGGTGGCTGCAGGCCCTGGACAGAGACTGGGGACACGTGGAACCCGCGCTTCCCGCCGCCCGCTGCCTGTGTCTGCCCCTGGTACACCCCTTGGCCTGAAAGAAGGAGGAGAAACTGTGGGAAAATGTCAGAAGGGAGCCCGGGCAGCGAGTAGTGCGCGCGCCCCCGGGTCAGCGGAGCTGTCTCCCGGGGTCCTAATCTCTCAGTGCCAGGAGCCGGGTGCCGGGCACCCAGGGCCCAGGACGGTCCTGGTCGCAGAATGGCGCTGGGAAAACGCGTCTTGGACGGAGCTGGCCCGAGGCTTCTTGCCCCGTGTACTTTGGGCAAATCATGCTAATCATCAATGAACGCTTCATAAACGCCTTCTGAATGCACTTATTATGCATTTATTGAGCATGCTGTGTGTGGTTGGGAAGGCGGGGAGTGGGGGTGGGAGAAAACATCCATCCTGCTAATCGAGGTGACGGGGATCATCAGGCCATTTTACCAAGCCGCCACTGCGACCTTGAGCGACTGGCACGTTTGCCGGCCTGCCCTACTCCCCACTGGCCTGAGGAAACCTGGAAGAATCTGGAAGTACTGCCCAGCAAATGTGAGGTCGCTTCCCTCCCAGGAAAGCCAGGAGACTTCCCAGATGTTCCTAGACTGATCCGCTTCCCAAGTGTGTGCGTGTGTCTTTGCACCTTTACGCACGGAGCAGCCAGGCATTAAACATCAACTGTTAGGCTCTATGCTATGCCTCGAGACAGACGCACTTAGCCCAAACCTCTCCGGGGATGTGCATTTGGGTGGGAGTTTAATTTTCAGTGGAGAGAAGTTTTCAGGGCGCTTAGAGGTCGACGTTGTCCGGAAGCAGAGGGCTCTGCTGTTTGCACAGCATCTCCATGCGCCCTGTCACGTCCAGCAAACTGCAGAGCCGAGCTTCCCATGCGGTGCTGCGCATACCACGAGGGGCTCCCGTGGCAAAAGGGCTCTAAATTGACCAATCTCCGCATCCAGGAGAGAGCCACCCCTGCTTCCGAGTTGGGGAGTCTAGCGAGAACGCACTGGGGGCTCCTTAACCGAGGATCTGGAGAAACTCGGCAAGTCTCTGGCAAACCAAGGTTCACCCTAGATGTCGGGCGGCGACGCCCGAGCCGCGTGCAGTGCCAACCTGGCCTTCCCGGAGCCCGGGGGCGCGCCTCCCGGGGCCAGCTGCCTGGGGAAAGGCTGTGCGGAGGAAGAGCGCGCTCTCGGATTCCTGGGACGCGGCCTGTACCCAGCACTTGGGAGGGTGTTCTGTTGAGCCGCGTGCTGGCGACCGCGGAAACGCGGAGCGCGGAGCCGCGCGGACCAGGGCGCGCGACCCGGGGCGCTGCGGCAGCCGAGCACGGCGCGTGTCGGGCGGGCGCCAGCCCTGCGCGCTCAGGCCGCAGTGCGCAGTGCGCAGCGGAGTCGCTCAGCGGGTCTGGTGGCTGCTTTCTCTTTCCCAGAATGGAGTAGGGGCAAAAGTCAGTTCCGCATGAGTGTCATTTGTTGGGCAGCAACAACCTCTAATAAGGCTTTCAAAGTAATTTCCTATCTTTTGTCGATTTCCTCTACTAAAGCGTTTCAGGCTCTGCCCTGGCTTCTCTCTGGAGATCAGCTCCCGCGTTGCCAGCCGCAGCCACCCAAGGGCTCCTGACGCCGTTCCTCCGCCCCTACCAGATGCACCTGTCTCTCCTGGCAATATTCGATTTTAAAGAACTTATTTTTAAACTTGTGTTTGGGAAACAAGTCACCGGGATACTTTACCCCGCGCTCTTTGTAGGGTTAATTTGATTCAGATGTGTTTGTTTTTGTAAAGCGGCTTTGTGTAAGTGGACAGTTATACATATTTTTAGTCAAATTTTCTTTGTGGCTTGGCATCCTAAATGCGATCTTCATTTTTAATCCCTACTTACTATGTAGTTTTATCTTTTAAAGCTTAAATATTTTGTCGTTGTTAAAATTTTTAAATGTCCTTTAGTCGAGTTTTTATTTTTTATTTTTTTATGCAGCGTGAATTTACGTAGGGAAGCCAATTGTGAAATACACCAAAAGGATGTTATCCTTCAAGTAACATGAAGCAGTTTCCTTTTCGAGGGCCCCAGAATGAGTTTCAAGAGAGGAATGTGGTGAGGAAGGCCAAGGTTCCTCTCCTCCTCCAGGATCTGCGGATGTCACTGGTGATCCCCAAAGAGCAGAGATGTGCTGGCTGCCAGATGCTCCTGGGTGGCCAGGGCCAGAGGGACTGGAACACTGCCCTGTGTCCAGGGAATACTGCCACTGGCTCTAGCAGTTGTCCCATTACCTAAAGTCATGTCCCCAACTCCGCAGAACTCAGTGTCAGCTTTCACATTCTGGAATTTTTTTGTGTGTGAGAGGGAACAAATAGAAGCAGAGTAAGGTCCTGTAGGAAGGGACTTGCTGGTTTTTTTCTGGGGTACCTGGCATAGTCCTCAGTTCCAGACAACCGAGGAATCACTCTCCTTTCCTTTTCTCAGCTGAAAATTGCATACTTTTAAAAACTTTTGGAATATTGACAAACCATATTTTATGTATAGTTTATGTTGGTTGTACACAATGTGAAATGACTGAATCAAGCTAACCAACATATCCATGACCTTTGATAGTTATTGTTTATTCCTCCTAATACATTGTACCTTTTAACCAGCAAATTATATTCTTTACAAATTATATTCTCACTCCTTTCCAGATTCAAACTACTTGAACAAAATAAGACCAAGAACAAATTCTGGTGCACACAACTCCATTCAATATTTCTACTTACTTTAATTATAGAAAAATTGGAAACAGAATGATGGCGCAATTATGAAATGCCAGTAGCATAACAGGTCTAAGCTTGTGGTTCTGTGAGCTCATGGTAACATGAAATGTTTGTATATGAACTGTGTATGCCAAGAAGAGTGAAGTAAGGCATGAAGGCATTTATGACATTGGAAGAAAAATTAAAGCCTTGGAAGTCATCATTAGAAAATCAAAAGAGACAAGAATTGAAAAAATGGATTTATACCCAATTAAAGTCACAAAAAATAATGATAGCAATTTTCCTGTATGGGCAAAAAGCCTTTATTTCAAAAGTGAAGGGTATTAATCCTTACAGAGGGATGTATTATGTAATATAAGAATATTTATCTTGGTGTTTATCCTATTTTTAAAAATATATGGGGGGGCTGGCGCTGTGGTGCAGAGGGTTAACACCCTGGCCTGAAGTGCCAACATTCCATACGGGCACCGGTTCTGGTCCCGGCTGCTCAACTTCCCATCCAGCTCTCTGCTACGGCAGTAGAAGATGGCTGGCCCCTGCACCTGTGTGGGAGACCCAGGGGAGGCTCCTGGCTCCTGGCTTCAGATTGGCACAGCTCCGGCCATTGTGGCCAACTGGGGAGTGAACCATTGGATGGAAGACCTCTCTCTCTCTCTCTCTCTCTCTCTCTCTCTGCCTCTCCTCTTTCAGTGTAACTCTGACTTTCAAATAAGTAAAAGTAAATATTTAAAAAAATATGAGTAAATCAACAAAATAAAATAACTTTCTTTTTTTTTGTTTGTTTGTTTTTGCTTTTGTTTTTAACTTTTATTTAATGAATATAAATTTCCAAAGTACGATTTATGGATTACAATGGCTTCCCCCACATACCGTCCCTCCCACCCACTACCCTCCCCTTTCCCGCTCCCTCTCCCCTTCCATTCACATCAAGATTCATTTTTGATTATCTTAATATACAGAAGATCAGCTTAGTATACATTAAGTAAGGATTTCAACAGTTTGCTCTCACACAAAAACATAAAGTGAAAAATAATAGATGATTTTTTTTAAATGATGATGAAATCAGATCAGACCTATTGTCATGTTTAATCCCAGTGAGAGTCAAGTTGGGAGTTGACAATTTCTTTTTTTTTTTTTTTTTTTTTTTACAGAGGATCAGTTTAGTATACATTAAGTAAAGATTTCAACAGTTTGCACCCGCATAAAAACACAAAGTGAAATATATTGTTTGAGTACTCGTTATAGCATTAAATCTCAATGCACAGCACATTAAGGACAGAGATCCTACATGAGGAGTAAGTGCACAGTGACTCCTGTTGTTGAAAATAACTTTCTTAAAGTGAAATGGACAGTTATCACCTAGAATAAAATGCTTCAGTGGCTTTTCTGACACAAAGAAGTTTCACTGTGTATGTTTGTACTCCTACATGTTTTCCTGACGTGGAAAATACAAGATCATGAAGCAGTGATTCCAGGCAATTTGAGGGAGAGTTCCAAGCCTCTCTGTGGAGAAGGAGTGAAAAGTTCTGGCTTTAATGGACCTCGTTGATTTTTTCTCCAGTCCAACTCTGACTGAGCTCTGTGTAAGAGCATTGTGAAAGATTTCGCTCTAGGTGTAGATGCCAATTAGCCTTAAAATTTGAATCATCTGCATGAAAGTTTTTAATGCCCTGCTGAATGAATCACTGTCAGAGTTTGAATTTCCTCTTAGTTTCCCGAAGACTCGGAAGTGATCGTAGCAAATGAGGTGGTGTGCAGCCTGGGATCTTTACATTGGCAACCATTTGATCCAGAAGAGTTTTCAAAAATCCTTCTTGCCTAAAGCAGATCTTACTGACTTGTTTCTTCCTTCAGTCTCTGTTTTCTTTAATAAAGAATTTTAAATGAAACTTAACCTTAAAAGAGCATTTTAGCATGAAATATATGGAAAAATAAAAAATAGTGATTTCTGTACTCTCTCAGAGGCAACCAAC